AAATGAAAGGTCAAATGAATGAATTAACGAACGGACGAACGAACTTTTGATGCAAAATGCCTACAAATAATTTTTACCAATTAAACTATTGCCTTTTAAGTTTTTTCACTTCTAGAAATGGAAAATTTAAAGAATGCAGCCATTATTCAACTGCACGTACCCATGTTCAGCGATGTTACTTTAAAATGATTGAAACATGTCTTCCAGATATGAACGGAACGCCTAAGAACCAAAAGAATATGTTTGGTGGGACGACAAGACAGTGTAATGGCTTAGACGCTAGCTCCTGTGCGTGTGTGCACATATAGCCACACAAACACACACACACAGACATATAGTCACACAAACACACACACACAGACATATAGTCACACAAATACACACACACACAGACATATAGTCACACAAACACACACACACAGACATATAGTCACACAAACACACACACAGACATATAGTCACACAAACACACACACACACACACACACACAGACATATAGTCACACAAACACACACACACATACAGACATATAGTCACACACACACACACTCAGGCATTGATCAAGTGTTCAACGTACTCTTTAACTTGTAGCGGATAGGCATCGAGGAATTGGTATAAGAATGTTAAAAATGCGAAAAGATAAATAATTTTTTTTTTCCCAACTTTGGCTTTTTACAAACATCTATAATTCTTACTCAAGAAATTAAAAAACATTTTCTCAAATTTGATAAGAAACAACAAAAAATTATTAAACTGAGACCAGCCACTAAGGTTACTCGAGTGCATTGTTGCAGTTGTTCAAGTTCTATAGAGACGATAAATTCAACGAAAAACATTTCACCACATGAAACTAGCAAAAGGCAATTATTAAAAAAGAGCATTTTTCAAGAAAGCAAAAAAAAAATGATAACATTTTATCTGCAATGTAATTGAAACTAGAAAAATAACAAAGTTTACTCACTGACATACAAACAAACTTACTAACAAGTCAGCAAACAAACAAACAAACAATCAACAAACAAACAAACAAACAAACAACAAACAAACAAACAATCAATCAACAAACAAATAAACCAAACAACGAAAACACAAAACGACAAAATATCATTTAAACTATAATACCAAAAAAAACATACAAACTACAAAGATATACAAGACAAAAATCATACAAAACAATACAAAACTATACAAACACACATAAAAATACAACAAAAACATACTCATATACAAAAAGTTTTCAATAAAATACATGCAAACACATTGCACCAACATCGGAAGCTTCCACAAGAAATAGGAAGGAGTTGTTTTTAACACCTCTCAATTAATAACTCGGCCATATACAAAACATTTTTGTATATTTTTATGTTTGTGTATGTGTATGTTCATGTCTCTGTATGCTTGTGTGTTTGTATAGATGTATGTTTGTGTGTTTGTTTATTTGTATATTTTTTATTATCATTGCTATTATTATTAGTATTTGTTTGTTTTTATGATTGTATGTTTACATGTTTGTATACCTCTACTTGCATATTTTGTATTTTTGTATATTTTGTATTATGGTATATAATTTTGTATGTATGGTTGATGCTTTTGAGTTTTTGTATGTTATGGATTTTTATTTATATTCGTTGAATGATATATCAAAAGAGTTTCAAATAAATATGACAAAATCTATCTAATTGTTATGAAAACCAAACACTTAACCATATCTACTCGAGTTTCTAGATGATAATTTCATTAAGTTAGACTTTGATGTCTTGGTTTAAACATTTCCCAAGCTTGGCAAATACAAAAATTGATTTTTGTTTTATTTTTTTTAGAAAAATTAGTTTCTTAAACCAATAAACAGTTAACAAATAAATCTAAATTAGCCAAAAAATCAATGTGTGAAATGGTTGTAGGCTATTAAATGTTTAGTATTTCTATCCAAAGTAAAAATTTCCTCCTCTAGATTATGCATGGTTTTGAAATCTGATGAGCTGCTTGAAATGTTTCGCTTTCATGTTTTTGTTCATTTCAAATTTTATTCATTCATTTGTTCATTTGTTTGTTCGTTCATTCAGTAATTCATCCATTTAATCATTTCCTACTTCATTCATTCGTTCGTTCGTTCGTTCATTCATTCATTTATTCGTTCGTTCATTCATTCATCCCATCATTCAATTCGTTCATTCATTCATTTATTCATTCGTTCATTCATTCATTCATTCATTCATTCGTCGCAATGAATTATTTTTTTTTGAATACACAAATACAAAACTCCCATTTTTATAGATCACTCAAACAAAAATTTTCACGTTGTAACTTGCTCTGGCTAGGTTCAATTTTTAATCTTATTTTGGTTCCTTGTGATGTATTTAGTTGAAGGGTTATGGCCGCTAATTTAAATTTCTCTTCTTTTTGTTTTGCAAAAAATTATTTTTCAATTTCAGAGTACTCTTTTTAGTTTATAAAAAACAAAACAAACAGGCAATAGTCAGGGATATTATTTGAAGAGTGGCCTTTACACAGACAGCTTAGAAGTCATTTTGAAACTAACTCGAAGTCGACACTAGTTTCTTTACATATTATTTTTTAAATAAATCCCTCTTGCAAAATTCAAACGAATCATAGTTGAGTTATTGACCGGAGAAAAAAAAATCTCTAAAAATTATCCCATTAACAAGCAACATGAAAAACAGCTCTGAAGAAAGGTTACATATGACGAGCTGACCTCAACCAAGTGTTGGAAGGTATATCGACAAAGTTGTTGAGAAAACTTAATCATGTTTCTCTCTCTCTCTCTTGTCTATCTTTCTTTTTCTCTCTCTTTTTGTCTATCTTTCTCTCTCTTTTTACTTCTCTCTTATTCTCTCTTCCTCTCTCTTCTCTCACTCTTCTCTATCATCCCCCCCATTTCATTTCAAAAAAATTAAGTTGACATTCAAGGTGAAAGGTCACCACAAAGTCGTCTGCCCCTCAAATTATGTGTTGATTGACATTCGCTATAGAGTAGTCAATAATTTATTTTTTTAAAATTCTTTTTATGTGAATATAACTTCGTGGTTGAAGTTAAATTTTTGGTTAAGTAGTTTAGTTTCGTTTTTTTTTCGTGATGGAATTTAAAGTGATGTCTGGTGAGTAAGCGAAAATTGGTAATGTGAACGTTTCATAAACTCTCCCACCAAAAAAAATACCAACGAATGGTTTTTTAATCCCATTTTTTTAAACTGGATTATATCCGCCAGTGCAAAAGCAAAAACTAAATAAAAATCGACCAATTTTGTTTTGTATGTTCAGGGAATAATGCTAACATGGCATCACTTCATCACGGTATTTATACATCATTTTCTTTTTAATTCTACCTTTTTTATCATCAACACTTCTCTCTCTCTTTCGCTATTTCTCTCTCTCTCTTTCTCTCTCTCTCTCTCTCTCTCTCTCTCTCTCTCTTACACACTCACACACACGCACACACGCACACAGACACCAAGTTGTAGACATGGAAATATTTAAACAAGGAGAATTTTTGAATTATAAACAGAATTCGTGTTAATCACATGACGGCAATATTTAACAGTTTTAGTTACTTGTATGGGCTTTTAAAAAAAAGGAGAAATCCTCTTAAAATTTCCGTATACAAAGTTATTACAGGTGGAATTATGAAATTATGAAATCCAGATTTAGCAATTTAACAATTTAAGCAAGATTTTTTCTTATAATATTGCATATTTTTTTACAAAATTTGAAATGTTTTGTGAGATTTTGTTTTTTGTATTTTTATTGTACAAGAAACCATAATTTTTTCACGGTCTTTTTAAAATTAACCAACAAAACTCAGCCAGTGCATGTGAATACGCCACACATCCGTCTACACATTACACTCACATACATTGGATGTGATGAACGAGGACACTACGACAACAGAGCCGGGCTTCGTAACCATTAGACCATCCTATAAAATGAAATAATGCTTATATTTCAATGCTGGTTCCATTATTTTTATATTATTTTTTTTTTTAAGAATTTTATACCTACATCATGTCACTATTGTGAGAAAATTTGTTTTTGCTAAAAGTTCTTAAAAATTGATTTCATAAAAGGCTAAAAGCTAAAATTATTTTTGAAAAAAGCAAATTAAAAATCAATATTTTTTAAAATATTCCTACAATGGCAATATTTTACGTACAAAAACATGCACCTACAAAAAACTACCTTGATCATTTTTCATTGTTTTTTATAACAGCATTTTCCACAATTTTGATATCCTATACACACACAGACAAACATTTACACACGCGCAGACAAACACACGTAACTACACATATCATACATCATATACAAATCTACCTAATATACATAAAATTTCATATATATTTTACATATCCTCTATATTATACAGTCACACTTATATGTGTTAATACGCATACATACACACATAAAGGTTGGAACGATCACATAAACTCGAGCATACATCCATCTCGTTCGTTGAAATTAGATAAGTAGGAATGAAATTAGTCGGAATGGGTAGCATTAGAGGATTGAAAGGTTCCAAATTAGTTTGAAGGGTGCTAATTTTGAAACCTTTATTTCTTAAATGATTCTGTTTAGCTTAAAAAGAGATAATTTATTGTTTTATTGATGAATCTATATTTTGCCTCAAGAATTTATTAATTTATTGACATTTTTTATTACTATTTTTCATGAGAAAATAATTAATTAGTTTGAACTAGTTAAATATTTGATTAATTGAACAGCTTAAATACAAATATTGCAAGTTTAATTGTTATATTTGAGTTCGTAGTTTGTAGTAAAAAGAAGATAGTATCTGATGATGAAAAACTTCATTGTGAGTTATTCATTCATTCATTCGCTTCATCGCTCGTTCGATCGTTCGTTCATTCCTTCGTTAATTAATTAATTAATTAATTAATTCATTTATTCATTCTTTCCATCGTTCGTTCATTCATTCATCTGTGAAAAAAAATCATGCGATTAAAAAATATAGTCGCATTTATTTTCTGTGTTATCAAAAAAACTGATGTCAAGTAGTAGTAGTAGTAATAGTAGTAGTAGTAGTAGTAGTAGTAGTAGTAGTAGTAGTAGTAGTAGTAGTAGTAGTAGTAGCATAAATAGCAGTAGTAGTACTAGTAGTTCTGGTTGTAATAAGAGAGTAAGTAGTAATGGAAATCAAGGAAAAAATAATTTAAAAAATTTTTGTAGTTTTGTTTTTCAGGGAAAATTCGACATTTTGATTAATTTCTTTTTTTTCAATTTTTCCAAATATTTTAAACTACACCATGACCTCAGTGCTTGGTTGATTGATTCGTCGTCGTCTGATACATACATATATCAAATCGTCCATATTAATTATCTCTGCCCAGATAAACACACACACACACACTCCCACACAAACACTCCCACACACACTCCTACACTCACAGACAAGCAAGCAAACATACAGACTCTCTCTCTCTCTCATTCTCTCTCCTTTCTCTCTCCTTTCTCGCCATAGAACATATTAACATTTAACATATGCCTCATTTTTCAGTCTTATAAATTCATCTACAACGTATAAAAATTTTTTTCTTAGTAATAATACTAATAATAATAATTGTTAGTTAATTAATTAATTAAATAATTAATTAATAAATACTTCTTAGTAATACTACTAATAATTATTATTATTATTATTATTTTTATTACGTTGAACAAAGGCGAAGACGAAACTAAGACAATTTTAAAACAATAAATTAAATAAATTTATGATAATAACTTTTTTTTAATAATTCTACTTAAATTACTATTTAAGTAGCTTTGTCGTTGGGTGTTAAGTAGAACCAGTTTTTATAAATTGAAATTAGAGAAGTCTAATAAATGCCAACTTAATAAAAAATATTTCATGGAAATATGGATTTTTTCTACTTTTAAAACATTAATTTGATGTCCAGTTTTGGAGTCGTGTGTGTATGTGTTAATGTGTGTGTGTCTGTGTGTGTTCATGTGTGTATGTGAGTGTGTGTTTTCATAAGCAAACATTTTATATTTTATTTGAGAAACGAAGGCATAATCCTATGCTTAGTAAATGTTTTATAACCATCATCATCAGATGAATAACTCACAAAATCGCATCTGATGGTAATGACACGTGTGTGTGTGTGTGTGTGTGTGTGTGTGTGTGTGTCTATGTGTGTCTATACGTGATTATGTGTGTGCGTGTGTGTCTGTATACGTCTCTAATTCAAACATCGTCTTTCTTCTACGAAATGATGACCCGCGACCGTTCTCCACAATTTTAGCAGCTGTAATGGTGTTGCTAGTTAGATGGATTGTTGGTTGCCGGTGTCGTCTCGAGGCGATGATGTCTTCTGCAGATGCCTCAGAATTTTTAATCGGTTGTTCTGACTTTTTTTGGTTAGGGAATGGATGAGAGAGAGAGAAAGAAAAAGAGAGAGAGAGAGTGAGAGAGATTGATTTTTACTTTACTATCTAGTTTTGAGCATGGTTTTGTCATTTAGTTTTGAGTAGAAAAGAGAGAAATTAAGAGAAAGGTAGATAGATAGATAGATAGATAGTTAGAGAGAGAGAGAGAGAGAGAGAGAGAGAGAGAGAAAGATGTTGTTGAAATGAAAAATAATTTGAAAAAAAAATCATTTTAGATAAGTTGAAAATTATTACGAAAGACCACTAATCTTAAGTAAGCTGCTAAAAATATTAAATCGAGTCGAGAACATTTTTTTAATCATTTAGAAATAATGTTGGTTTATATTCATTTTCAGACCGGCTGCTAACTTATTGGGCTATTTAATAAAAATTAAAATAGGAAATAACATCTGGTAAAAAGACATCGAAAAAAATATCGGCTACTAAAAAATTAAAATCACTTAGAAAAATTATTATAAGCTTTTATAAATCTGGCTTTTTCGGCAATTTTTACCTACTTAGCTAGTTTTTCGGCATGGTTGCTTACTCATAATCCTTTAATGCATTAAAAACTGTTGAATCAGCTTCTCGTAAGTGTATGAAGCAACGAGATGTCGCTTGGTTCTAATGCTACAGTGACCTGGTTCGAATTCAGAAAGACCACCGGGTTCGAATTCAGAAAGGTCTCTGCCTGCCACACGCAACTTACGTGTGTGTACGTGTTGATACTTTTAAGAGTTACTCGTAATCTGTGTGCATGCAAGCGCGTGTCCGTGGAAGTGTGTGTCTGTGTGTGTGTGTGTGTGTGATATATGCGTGTGTGCGTAACATATGCGTGTGTGATATAAGTTTTATGAATGTAAGTATGAGGCTCTCAAAAGGTGAGATAATTCTCAATGCGGCCCTCACAGCAAAAAAGTTTGCCCACCCCTGTCTTGTAACATTGAAGCGACACACCAACGATCAAATTTTGGACATTTGCATGAACATTTTGACCTGATTTTCACGTCTTTGGGCTGAGTTTAGATGTGTTTATACGTTAATAATATGTTGGGAAAAATGTTTATCTCTGCGTTTAAGTCTTTATTTTGCCTCTTCGATTAAAATTGTCGATGGGATCTATCTATTGTATTTACTTTATGAGCGTCTGGGATTTAAATAACGTTTAATGTCTAATGTCTATACCGATTTTTACGAGTGAATTTTTGTGTATTTGTTAGTGTGTGTGTGTGTGTGTGTGTTTGTGTGTTTATGCATGTGTGTGTGCGTGTGGGTGAGTGTGTGTTTGTGTGTTTATGCATGTGTGTGTGCGTGTGGGTGAGTGTGTGTGTTGGTGACAGTAGTGTGTGTGTGTGTGTGTGATTGTGTGTTTATGCATGTGTGCGTGCGTGTGCGTGTGTGTGAGTGTGTGTGTTGGTGACAGTAGTGTGTGTGTGTGTGTGTATGTGTGTGTGAGTGTGTGTGTGTGTGTGTTGATGACAGTAGTGTTGTAAATAACTGGATAGCGTGTTCAGTCTTCATGAAGATTTTTTATCCTGCTTATTGATGGCTAGCCATACGGACCTGAAATGATTTTTTCGTCGTCAATTTACTATTATGACGTCATCAACGTCATTGATATCATCATCATCATCATTATTATTATTATCATTATTATTATTATTATTATTATTATTATTATTATTATTATTATTATTATTATTGTTACTATTATTATTATTATTGTTATTGTTATTATCGTCATAATCGGCTGCATCGTCATCCTCATAATCCCTTCCATCATCATCATTACCACTTGCCACATATCATCATCGTCGTCATCATCAACGTCATCGTCACATTTTAAAAATTTAGTTGTCCACCCATTCATTCGTTCGTTCGTCCGTTCGTTCGTTCGTTCGTTCGTTCGTTCATTCTTTCAATCATTTATTCATTCATTTATTCGTTCATTCATTCATTCATTCATTCATTCATTCATTCGTTCATTCATTCATTCATTCAGTCATTCATTCATTTCTATCGTAGCTTTACACGCGGTGTCAAAATTCATCAATCGGCTGATGACGTCACTGTCGTTGAGGAAGATGATGATGATGGTGGTGGTGGTGGTGAAGATGATGATGGTGGTGGTGGTAGTGAAAATGATGATGGTGGTGGTGGTAGTGAAAATGATGATGATGTTGGTGGTGGTGAAGATGATGATGATGATGGTGGTGGTGAAGATGATGATGGTGGTGGTGAAGATGATGATGATCATATCATATCATCATTGCGGATCATATCATCTTCATCAAGCCCATTTTTGTTTATTCCCCTCAAAATTTCATATATCTACATATACACATTCAAAAAAACACACACATACACACACACACACACACATACACACACACATACAAAAAAAACAAAGCTTCTGTCGAATTAATGTCATTTAACGGGTTTTTCTAGACAGGTATATACTTAATTTAGTTACAAAGATTTTTGTATGTATGTATGTATGTA